TTGTTGTGTATGGTGTCTGTCTCCACTTGTTGTGTATGGTGTCTGTCTCCACCACTTGTTGTGTATGGTGTCTCACCACCACTTGTTGTGTATGGTGTCTGTCACCACCACTTGTTGTATGGTGTCTGTCACCACCACTTGTTGTATGGTGTCTGTCACCACCACTTGTTGTGTATGGTGTCTGTCACCACCACTTGTTGTGTATGGTGTCTGTCACCACCACTTGTTGTATGGTGTCTGTCACCACCACTTGTGTATGGTGTCTGTCACCACCACTTGTTGTGTATGGTGTCTGTCACCACCACTTGTTGTGTATGGTGTCTGTCACCACCACTTGTTGTATGGTGTCTGCCACCACCACTTGTGTATGGTGTCTGTCTCCACCACTTGTTGTGTATGGTGTCTGTCTCCACTTGTTGTGTATGGTGTCTGTCTCCACCACTTGTTGTGTATGGTGTCTGCCACCACCACTTGTTGTGTATGGTGTCTGTCACCACCACTTGTTGTGTATGGTGTCTGTCACCACCACTTGTGTATGGTGTCTGCCACCACCACTTGTGTATGGTGTCTGTCACCACCACTTGTTGTGTATGGTGTCTGTCACCACCACTTGTTGTGTATGGTGTCTGCCACCACCACTTGTTGTGTATGGTGTCTGTCACCACCACTTGTTGTGTATGGTGTCTGTCACCACCACTTGTTGTGTATGGTGTCTGTCACCACCACTTGTTGTGTATGGTGTCTGTCACCACCACCACTTGTTGTGTATGGTGTCTGTCACCACCACTTGTGTATGGTGTCTGTCACCACCACTTGTTGTGTGTGGTGTCTGTCACCACCACTTGTGTATGGTGTCTGTCACCACCACTTGTTGTGTGTGGTGTCTGTCACCACCACTTGTTGTGTGTGGTGTCTGTCACCACCACTTGTGTATGGTGTCTGTCACCACCACTTGTGTATGGTGTCTGTCACCACCACTTGTTGTGTATGGTGTCTGTCACCACTTGTTGTGTATGGTGTCTGCCACCACCACTTGTTGTGTATGGTGTCTGCCACCACCACTTGTTGTGTATGGTGTCTGCCACCACCACTTGTTGTGTATGGTGTCTGTCACCACCACTTGTTGTGTATGGTGTCTGTCACCACCACTTGTTGTGTATGGTGTCTGTCACCACCACTTGTTGTGTATGGTGTCTGTCACCACCACTTGTTGTGTATGGTGTCTGTCACCACCACTTGTTGTGTATGGTGTCTGTCACCACCACTTGTTGTGTATGGTGTCTGCCACCACCACTTGTTGTGTATGGTGTCTGTCACCACCACTTGTTGTGTATGGTGTCTGTCACCACCACTTGTTGTGTATGGTGTCTGTCACCACCACTTGTTGTGTATGGTGTCTGTCACCACCACTTGTTGTGTATGGTGTCTGTCACCACCACTTGTTGTGTATGGTGTCTGTCACCACCACTTGTTGTGTATGGTGTCTGTCACCACCACTTGTTGTGTATGGTGTCTGTCTCCACCACTTGTTGTGTATGGTGTCTGTCACCACCACTTGTTGTGTATGGTGTCTGTCACCACCACTTGTTGTGTACGGTGTCTGTCACCACCACTTGTTGTGTATGGTGTCTGTCACCACCACTTGTTGTGTATGGTGTCTGTCACCACCACTTGTGTATGGTGTCTGTCTCCACCACTTGTTGTGTATGGTGTCTGTCTCCACCACTTGTTGTGTATGGTGTCTGTCTCCACCACTTGTTGTGTATGGTGTCTGTCACCACCACAACACTTAGCGCGTTCCATTTGTTCAATTCGGATACTGAACAAATTCTTTCCAAGGTTTCAGTAGCTTATTCAGGCGCTTAGGGTCCACCTGTATGGGATCTTTGTGTACCACCCTTGCCAAACAGTCTATCTTTACCTATACCATTCGTGCCAAATAGTCTATTCTTGTCTACCCCCTGTTTATTCACCTGGTTATTTTGTATATAGTGATCATGTCTTCTCTGTTAACCGTCTCTCTCAGTGTCAGATGTTGTTTAATGAAATCTGTGCCTTGCGGTTACCTTGGGATGATTTCGGGGCTTAGCGTCCCCGCGGCCCGGTCCTTGACCAAGCCTCCTTGTTGCTGGACTGATCAACCAGGCTGTTGGACGCGGCTGCTCGCAGCCTGACGTATGAGTCACAGCCTGGTTGATCAGGTATCCTTTGGAGGTGTTTATCAAGTTCTCTCTTGAACACTGTGATGGGGTCGACCAGTTATGTTCCTTCTTTGTATTGGAAGTGTGTTGAACAGTCTCGGGCCTCTGATGTTGATAGTTCTCTCTTGAACACTGTGAGGGGTCGGCCAGTTATGTCCCTTATGTGTAGTGGAAGCGTGTTGAACAGTCTCGGGCCTCTGATGTTGATAGTTCTCTCTTGAACACTGTGAGGGGTCGGCCAGTTATGTTCCTTCTTTGTATTGGAAGTGTGTTGAACAGTCTCAGGCCTCTGATGTTGATAGTTCTCTCTTGAACACTGTGAGGGGTCGGCCAGTTATGTCCCTCATGTGTAGTGGAAGCGTGTTGAACAGTCTCAGGCCTCTGATGTTGATAGTTCTCTCTTGAACACTGTGATGGGGTCGGCCAGTTATGTCCCTCATGTGTAGTGGAAGCGTGTTGAACAGTCTCGGGCCTCTGATGTTGATAGTTCTCTCTTGAACACTGTGAGGGGTCGGCCAGTTATGTCCCTTATGTGTAGTGGAAGCGTGTTGAACAGTCTCGGGCCTCTGATGTTGATAGTTCTCTCTCAGAGTACCTGTTGCACCTCTGCTTTTCAACGGGGGTATTCTGCACATCCTGCCATGCCTCCTTGTCTCATGTGGTGTTATTTCTGTGTGCAGGTTTGGCACCAGCCCCTCTGATATTTTCCATGTGTGTAAATTATTGTGTATCTCTCGCCTGCGCTCAAAAGAATACAGATTTTGTCATTTTAGTCGGTCCCAGTAATTTAGATGTTTTACTGAGTGGATTCTAGCAGTAAAGGATCTCTGCACGCTCTCCAGGTCAGCAATTTATCCAGCTTTGAAAGGGGCTGTCATTGTGCAGCAGTACTCCACTCTAGAGACAATTGTTTCCTTGTCAATGTACCAACCTGTCTTTAGAAAGAGGTATCCTTATCTTGAGGTTATCTTGAGATGATTTCGGGGCTTTAGTGTCCCCGCGGCCCGGTCCTCGACCAGGCCTCCACCCCTCAGGAAGCAGCCCGTGACAGCTGACTAACACATAGGTACCTATTTTACTGCTAGGTAACAGGGGCGTAGGGTGAAAGAAACTGTCATTGTTTCTCGCCGGCGCCTGGGATCGAACCCGAGACCACAGGATCACAAGCATGCTGTCCGCTCGGCCGACATGCTCCCTCAATTCCTGTACTGTGTTCCCAATGTGTTCCCAATGTGTTCCCAATGTGTTCCCAATGTGTTCCCAATGTGTTCCCAATGTGTTCCATTACATTTAGACAGCCTTCAGGATTTTCAGGTGTTACTATATTTGTCACATTCGTTCATTATTGATTCTGTATCTTGAGGTTATCTTGAGTTGATTTCGGGGCTTTTTAGTGTCCCCGCGGCCCGGTCCTTGACCAGGCCTCCACCCCCAGGAAGCAGCCCGTGACAGCTGACTAACACCCAGGTACCTATTTACTGCTAGGTAACAGGGGCATTCAGGGTGAAAGAAACTTTGCCCATTTGTTTCTGCCTCGTGCGGGAATCGAACCCGCGACACAGAATTACGAGTCCTGCGCGCTATCCACCAGGCTACGAGGCCCCTGTAGCTTGAAGTCTCAAAGATTCTCCCCGAAACGCTTCACGACTTTGCAAAAATGTAAAAATATCACCTTAATGTAATCTCGCCATCCCATTGTACCTTCTTCTTGAGGTTATCTTGAGATGATTTCGGGGCTTTAGTGTCCCCGCGGCCCGGTCCTCGACCAGGCCTCCACCCCCAGGAAGCAGCCCGTGACAGCTGACTAACACCCAGGTACCTACTTTACTGCTAGGTAACAGGGGCATAGGGTGAAAGAAACACTGCCCATTGTTTCTTGCCGGCGCCCGGGATCGAACCTGGAACCACAGGATCACAAATCCAGTGTGCTGTCCGCTTGGCCGACCGGCTTCTTGTGAATAAAATAATATTATTATTACGATAATGTTCGGGTATATACTTCGGGTATATATACTGATATACTTCTAAGAAGTATTAAATGTTTATAAGTTGGTCTTTATATTGCTGAAGAAGATTTGCCTCTGGAGACTTGTATACAAGGACAACAACCACATGTCGGTCGGCCGAGCGGACAGCACGCTGGACTTGTGATCCTGTGGTCCTGGGTTCGATCCCAGGCGCCGGCGAGAAACAATGGGCAGAGTTTCTTTCACCCTATGCCCCTGTTACCTAGCAGTAAATAGGTACCTGGGTGTTAGTCAGCTGTCACGGGCTGCTTCCTGGGGGTGGAGGCCTGGTCGAGGACCGGGCCGCGGGGACACTAAAAAGCCCCGAAATCATCTCAAGATAACATTTCGAATTTGTGTTTTGATTGTGAGCACTTCCAGCATGTTATATGTGGTGTTTAGCAGCTTAGTGAAGACGGTTCCATTGAACCATTCTCAAGTCGATTGTGACCACAATCGACTTGAGAATGGTCCAGGACGGACCGAAACGTCGTCGTCCCTTCACTTTCCAGTGTGTGGTCTGGTCAACATTTTTCAGCCACGTCATTGTGCAACAACCCGTTCTCGCACTTGCTTATAGTCAATATTGGCTTATTTAATAAGTGCGTATGTGACATACTAATTGATTGCAAATATTTTAGTTTACCTTGAAAAGCTTCATAGAAAACACCGACCTCACCTAACCTGCTTAGTATGTTAAGATAAGTATTTTATTGCTTCTTATTTACAATTATTACTTAACCTATACGGCAGTGTGACTCCTCATCTGCAAAAATGTCTTGTGTTGTTTCAGGATGTAGTGTGAGAGATGGGGACGGCGGAGCAGCAGAAGGAGCACTCTGGAGTGTCCGGGTCGTCGAGTCTGGAGTGCGGAGAGGACGAGGCTGGAGGTATTCGACCTCCAGTGTCCCGGGGGTCATCTACTGGCGTCACCCCCACCTCCAACCTCACCCCCGCGGGGGGAAATGGCGCCCGTCGTGGGCGAGCCTCTCCCACTAATGCCCTCAGTCGCGTTCCCCTCACCAGGCTCTGCGAAGAGAAGCGTGCTAGACGGTGTCGATTTTACCGAAATGGTGATAGATGGTTTGGCGGGTCAGTGGTGGCCGTGGGTGGGGACAAGCATCGCTCCTGGGAGGCACTCCTGGCAGACTTGACGCGTGTCTTGGACCACCCTATACACCTGACTGCCGGTGTGCGCCACGTGTTTGCGCTCGATGGCACGCGCATCACCCAGCTCGACCAGATACGGGAGGCCGGCGAGTACGTAGTCTCCTCGTCGGAAATATTTAAAAAATTGGAGTATACCCGCGCGCGTCTGCCGCAGTGGAGAGCCAATGCGCGCCGCAACGAGGCGCTGCACGTCGCCCCGCGCACGGCGTACGCCTCTCCCGCGTCCACGCCCGGCAGTGACGTACCCCCAAGCCTCATCGGAGCAACCACGCCCACGGACTCCCCCAAGGACTTCATCCGACCCAAACTAGTCACGGTGATCCGTAACGGTGTGCGACCCCGCAAGGCCGTACGGATTCTTCTGAACCGTCGTACCGCGCGAAGCTTGGAGCAGGTGCTGTCAGACATCACCCACGCTATCAAATTGGACACGGGCGCTGTCAGGAAGGTCTTCACCCTCGACGGTAGACAGGTGAGTACATGAATGGTTAATGTCTCAAGATAGCTCGCTAAAAGCAATACTAGCCTTCCAAGATTGTGTTCGATTGGGGTGTCACTTTGTCGCCTGTGCTGTCTAGATATATCTAGATAAAGTCACTAGATATTTCTAGTGACTTTACTTAGGACGTATAGGAACCTACTATTGTATTTTACGAAATATTGGGCCAGGAGACTTAGAAATGTCATAACAAAAACTTAGATGTATTCTAGGAAGAAGAGAAATTATAGACGGCTTTTGACAAAGAAATGCAGAATAGTCATTGGCTGTTGGGCGACTACTTGCACTGGGCCAGATTCACGAAGCAGTTACGCATACACTTACGAACCTGGGGCCAGATTCACGAAGCAGTTACGCAAGCACTTACGAACGTGTACATCTTTCCTCAATCTTTGACGGCTTTGGTTACATTTATTAAACAGTTTACAAGCATGAAAACTTGCCAATCAACTGTTATTGTTATAAACAGCCTCCTGGTGCTTCCGAGCTCATTAACTGTTTAATAATTGTAAACAAAGCCGCCAAAGATTGAGAAAAGATGGACAGGCTCGTAAGTGCTTGCGTAACTGCTTCGTGAATCTGGCCCCAGGTTCGTAAGTGCTTGCGTAACTGCTTCGTGAATCTGGGCCCCTGTTCATCTTCTCTCAATCTTTGACGGCTTTGTTTACAATTTCGTGAATCTGGCTATACCTGTTTGCCACTTGCGAGTAGATACGTGGTGTATGCACTCTTCACTCAACCAAGAACGTAATTAATAATTACTTGTGACGGGGACAGGCAGCCAGAGTGTCTTCATACACATTAGGCTTATATAGTCTTTCAAGGTCGAATTACTGACCCCCCCCCCCCCACAACACGCTGACTAACTTCTAAGTACCTACTTACTGCTAGATGAACAGAAGCATTAGGTGAAATGAAATGTGCCCAGTTGTTTCTGTCCCGCCCGGGATTCGAACCTGGAATTCTCGATTGTGAGTCAAGAACAAACCCGACAACCCGACGAAGTTTTTTTTTTTTTTTTTTTTTTTCCTCCTATAAAATCGTGTCATATATGCTCTCACACCTGGTACTAGACAGCGTTGTAATTACCTAAGTGTAGTTATAGGATGAGAGCTACGCTCCTGGTTGTCCACTTGCGCTGGACGGTATAGCGACGGTTTCGCTTCATGCAGGTCGGCGTTCAATCCCCGACCGTCCACAAGTGGTTGGGCACCATTCCTTCCCACCGTCCCATCCCAGATCCTTATCCTGTCCCCTTCCCAGTGTTATATAGTCTTAACGGCTTGGCGCTTTCACCCCCCCTCATAGTTCCCTACGCTCGTGGTGTCCCGTCTTCCCAGCACTCTTTGTCATATAACGCTTTGAAACTACTGACGGTCTTGGCCTCCACTACCTTCTCACCTAACTTGTTCACGTGTGTGTGTGTGTGTGTGTGTAATTACCTAAGTGTAGTTACCTAAGTGTAGTTACAGGATGAGAGCTACGCTCGTGGTGTCCCGTCTTCCCAGCACTCTTTGTCATATAACGCTTTGAAACTACTGACGGTCTTGGCCTCCACCACCTTCTCACTTAGCTTGTTCCAACCGTCTACCACTCTGTTTACAAAAGAAAATCAACCAGGTATCAACCAGGTATCAACCAGGTCCACAAACAAATTAGGAAGTCCATTCATGTGCAGAATTGAGCTATTAGCTCTTGGATCCCACCTTTCTAACCAATCTATTTTTACTCTATTATATCTACTACATATATTTCTCTCTAACACGCGCGCACAAACATCCCCAGGAAGCTGCTTTTAGTAGCTGTCTAACTCCCAGGTACCTATTTACTGCTAGGTGAACAGAGGCATCAGTATGAAAGAAACTGCTCATTTGTTTCCGCCTCGGCCGGGAATCGAACCCGGGCCCTTAGGACTATAAACCCAGAGCGCTGTCCACTCGGCCGCGAGTCCACTAAGGCGTGTGTGTACTCACCTAATTGTGCTTGCGGGGATTGAGCTCTGGCTCTTTGGTCCCGCCTCTCAACCGTCAATCAACTGGTGTACAGATTCCTGAGCCTATTGGGCTCTATCATATCTACACTTGAAGCTGTGTATGGAGTCAGCCTCCACCACATCACTCCCTAATGCATTCCACCTGTTAACTACTCTGACACTGAAAAGGTTCTTTCTAACGTCCCTGTGGCTCATTTGGGTACTCGGTTTCCACCTGTGTCCCCTTGTTCGCGTACCACTCGTGTTAAGCAGTTTATCTTTATCGTGTCAATTCCTCTGAGAATTTTGTAGGTAATGATCATGTCTCCCCGAGGTCTCCTGTCTTCCAGTAATGTGAGGTTCATTTCACGCAGCCTTTCCTCGTAACTCATGCCTCTTGGTTCTAGAACAAGAACCCGGCAATGTGACGTTATAGTGGCCAGAATACGCCTGGGATATAGACGTATCTGGCAGCTTTCTCAAAACCCAAATGTCGAGTACACAATGTGTCAACTTTGTGAAAGAGAAAACATGCACTCTCTTGAACATTATATTGTAGAATGTCCCATACTGACTGACTTTCGCCCTCCTGGGCTGAGGTATGCTGAACTCTGTAGTTACTATACGAGTACTGGAACACTTGATGATATATTGGACTTGTACCCTAGATTGACTATGTAATATATCAATATACAATGTATGTGATTTAACTATATAACCTGAGCTTGTAAAACTATCTTAATCACCTTCAGTGGTTAGGTGATTAATAACACACTAGTTCCTATAGCAGCCATCTTCTATCTTACCCTGTCAGAGTAGAATAGACATAAATGTGTGTATATATATATATGTATGTATGTATACGTGTATACAGGATGTGTGGAAGCTGGTCAGAATTGCATTTCACCTTTGTAAATGCACATTGATGCCACTATGTAAAAAGACACATCGACCACTGTTTATGTAGGGCAGACGTAAATCTGTGTATTTATGTAGGCTAAATTAGCATTTTAAAAGCACTACAAATTCCCTTTTGTAGTTAATTGTTCAATATATCACTGAATTATATGTTTAACAGATCTCTAATCCTGTCGAAGGAGGACGTAAGAAAATGTATATATGCTGGTTGGCATTGTAAATGTGTGGCCACGTCAGTGGTAGAAAATAATAAAGAAAATAAAAAAAACAGTCTGGGACTAGTCTAGTGGCATACCTAAGAACTTTTTCCAGCTTCGTCTTGTGCTTGATAAGGTACGGGCTCCATGCTGGGGCCGCATACTCCAGGAATGGTCTGACATATGTGGTGTACAAGATTCTGAAGGATTCCTTACACAGGTTCCTGAAGGCAGTGCTGATAGCCAGCCTCGCATACGCCGCAGATGTTATTCTTTTGATGTGGGCTTTAGGAGACAGGTTTGGTGTGATATCTCCTAGAACTTTCTCTCTGTCCGTTTCGGGAAAGATTTCATCTGATTGATTGTTGCCGCCGAAGGCGGCTAGTTTATTGTGCACCCCATACTCATCCTGTGAGCGGTAGCGCAAAAGCATTACAGAGGGCACAAAAGGTCTTTATCAGACCTCATCTTAGATTATTACATAAACAATTTCTTCTATCCTTCACACCTTATAGTTACAATTGCAGCTAGTTACAGAGAAAGTGCTATTACAAGAGCTACATATTTACAGTAAGTCATCATACATTAATGGTAGGTCTTATCGCTAATACATAATAGTTTGACCAGTGGGGATATTACAGAGTCTTAGGGTAGCTTCTGTTTATTATTAGTCCTCACAGTACACTCCCATTCGGTATCCTGTGTCTGGTCGCCTAGTTTCATTAACTTACATTTATTCGGGTTGAACTTTAGTAGCCGTTTGTTGGACCATTCATACAGTTTGTTTAGGTCATCTTGTAGCCTCATTCTGTCTTCCTCCGTCTTAATCCTCCTCATAATGTTTGCATCATCAGCAAACAATGAGAGGAACGATTCTGTACCCCTCTGAGAGATCATTTACATATATCAGAAAGAGTATGGGTCCAAGGACTGACCCCTTCGGGACTCCACTGGTGACGTCTCGCCAATCTGAGACCTCACCCCTCACAGTGACTCGCTGTGCCCTGTTGCTTAGGTACTCCCTTATCCAATGAAGTACCTTCCCTTTCACTCCTGCCTGCATCTCCAGCTTTTTCACTAGACTCTTGTGTAGTACTGTGTTAGTTTAGTTCATTTATTATGCACCCCATACCCATCTTGTGGGCGGTAGTGGAAAGGGTTACAGAGGCACATAATGGGCTCAGGGACTGAACCCCACCATTCATTTAGCTAAGCAAGTTACAATCTTGATGAGCTAGTTACAAAATTCAATATAAGTCGTCACATCAACAATGGGTTCGAAATCGGCCACAAGTACAGGTTCTAAATTAAGCAACTGACATATGTGGAGAGCTAGTGTCACAATTGATATGTTTGTCCTGCACACCGCCCCCCATCCAGTGGGCAGCGGTGGATAGGTTACAATCACTTAGTTACTACCTACAGTTAGCAAACTGGGGATATTTGGCTAAAATTTCTGGTAGCAGATCATTTTGAATGAAATATTTACACATCGCTGGAACATTGGTTATAGAATTGTCTCTAAATTCACGTATCTTTTCGCACTCCATCACATAGTGACGGAGGGTGTGCGAATAATTTTGTTGACACAGTTTACATTTGGTCAGGTCTACATCAGCAGATAATGAGAATTCCCAGAGATACTTGTAACCGAGTCTAAGCCGAGCAGTAGTAACATCTAGAAGCCTGCTGATTATATTGGATGATCCATAGATGTGTGGCTCCTCTTGCATGATAGTATGATGATAGATGGAATTACTGGTGTCAATTTCACTTTGCCTCAGATCTACAAGATCTTGTTGAAGTTCTCGGTGTACTGCTGCTCTCAGATTGCTCATTGACAATCCAAGGTTACACTCAACGGCTCCTTTAAAGGCAGATTCTTT